ATTTCATGCACGCCATCGAAGACTTATTTTTTTAATAATCGAGTAGTACAACTGCACAAGCCCCCCACTTTCGCCCCCGTGGGACCCCCAGTTACCTTTCACACTCCAGCATCCATTATTTTTTGAGGGTAGATGTCTACCTTATTAAGGTCTTGTCTGGTTTTATAAAAAATAGTTTTTTAATATATTTCAATAACTATTGATGGAATGTGTAATCGAAAAATTGTAAATTTTGTGAAATATATGAATGAAAAACGAGTCTTTAAAAATTAAGATCAAAAAAGGGAAAAATTTAAACTAATATAAGTTTATATCTTTGAATTAATTATTATTTTGATAAAGACACAACATAAAAAAATGAATAATGTTATTCATAAATTACTGGTAGTCGTCCTACATGTCATACATATAACAGTTTATTATTTAATGCATTAATGTGGTAGTTTTTTATTACCTCGTGTTTCAAATAACAAACTGTTACATGTATATTACGCAGTACGACTGTCGATGGTTTTCACTATGAATAATATTACTCACTAAAAAAATTATACACGAGTTAGCGAAACGTGAATACTCACATTTACATGTTTCAACACTAGAAATTGAACTCTCCAAGTCTGAACTCATTTGGATAGTCTTATATTTACACGTATTAAGATTGTTCACTTAAATAACAATGCTTCGGGTACGTACAATAGAGAAATAGAGTCGGTGGATGGACTCACTCAACGTCCAAAGTACCATAATTTGAGTAGTTCGACATTCAATATGTCTTAATTGCACGTTATTTTGAAATACTTTATAAACACTGTAAAAATAATATTTGAAAATTAGTGAATATAAAAAATAGTTAAAAAAACTGTTTATATGAAATGAACATTTTATACAATTCAATTATTTATTTACGCTTATGATAATAATTAAGATTAATTTATATATATCATACTATAATTCAATTTATTAATTTTTCAAGTTCATGCACGTACACTTTATATATTTNATTTATATATATCATACTATAATTCGCTCAATTAATTATTCAAGTTCATGCATGTACGATTTATATATTATGGTGGCTGTTCAATTACTCTTGAAATACTACAATTCAATTATTCATGTATGTGCGTGTATACTAATTAATATTTACTTATGGATATATAAAATTTAGCATTAAGTCATCAAGTACATGTACACATATTTTGGGAGTTATTCAATTATTTTAGGAATAATTAAATTATTCAAGTTCATGAACACGTATTTATTTTCGAAATTATTCATTTTATCATAAATTATTCTAGGAGTATATATATTATTAAAAATCATATAATTTGAGAGTTATTCAATTATAAAGAAATTGCACTACATGTCATTTTCTGGCTTTGCTTTTCTAAAATATTACTTTTTAAAAGTTTTTGCAAGATTGTTATTTTTGGACATTTTTGCCATTCTAGAGAATTTAAATACCCAACACATTATTGAGTTGACAACTCAAAAAAATTGTACAAAAAGTGGAAAAAATTGAAAACCAATCACATCACAATTGTCCTTGAAAATTTTGGAAAAAAAATTGTGAAATCCAAAACCAAACCATGTTTCCATCCATTGGCCTATTTCATTTTCTTTGGACATTCATTCCAAAAAAAACCCTAGAAGCCATCAGTTTCTTTGGATCTTTGTCAACTTCTTGGTAAGCGGATAAGCCCTTACACGTCTCCCTCCACCTCTCTCCGTCGAACACTTTCATACCGAAAGAGGGCTATTTTTGCTTGTATTTGTTATATCTATATTTCGTATGCTTGTTTAATTTATTCGGATATTAGCCACGATTTAGAATTCAAATATTTTTTTCTTTTCATTGATTAGGATAGTGTTCAAAAACCTTGTCTTTGACTCCTTCTTGCTGGCGGTTATTCGATCGGAAAAGAAAATCGCAAACGAATCAGACTACTCCCGTTTCTCGTCGTTGTTATTTGCTACCATCGTTCACAGCCGTCTGTCAGTAACGGTTCAAGCCCTAAACGGAGTGATAAGGCTAGTACATTAACATTTTTGATTTTGTGATTTTTCTCTTGTCTAGTGACTCATTTCTAGTGATTTATATTTGAGCCTATGAACAGTTAATATATGATTTTATGAATCTTAGAACCGATGAATTTGTGATTTTTGAATGGTTGAATCCGTCTGCTTCTGTAACCTGTTGGTCATTTTTATACTCTCTTGAATTTGTGATTTTGTCAATATGTAATTTGTAAATTTGTTTTGGATATTTGTTTTGTGAATTGTGTTTGTGATATGTGAGATTTATTTTGAGAACTTCATCAAAATTCAAAATAGAGGTGGTGATTATGTATTACATGATAATGTATTTTTACCTTCTCAATGGTGATTATGTTCAGCCTTCTAAGTGAAAATATCTTTTGACTTGTAGGTAAATTGGGTGTTACTTTATGATTTTTGAATTAAGAAGAAGTAAAGGTAGTTTCACGATCGGCTATATTAATAATGTACCTTACATTTACTTTTTTTATAGAGTCAATGCTATAATGTAGAAGAAGTTTAATTGTTTATCTTGTCTTGTATTTGCTTTATAATATCGTCTTGATATTTTCGTTGTCTATTTGGCTCCTACTATGTGGAGAGGACTGGCCAATTTGATCAGATGATTGTAAATACTTTACTTGCTATATAAATTGAAGGAAAAGAAAAGAATTATCGCAAACGAAAACTGAGTGTTGAGTGGGAGGGGGCTAAATAGTAGACTTAAGATTTTTCATGTTTTTGTTGGTTGTTCTTTTGTAACTGGTTATTAGGAATGTACACAGTAAAGATGATTCTATTACCCCTTTGTAATTCTAAAATTTATCTCCTAATGATCAAAACATAAATGAGCGACATAAAAAACAATCAAGGGAAAGTGCCTATAGTCAAGTATAAATTGAAATTCATGCATTGCAAGAAATTGGACTAGATTATTAAAAATTATGCTCACTGTTTAAATTTGGAAGTGTTATTGAATTGGTTACATTAATTAACCTTTGCATTATTACAAGTATTGGGAGGAATTAGAATTTCTGTATTTACAAGACAAGTGTTTGTACGAGGAAAATGTCACGTTTGTTCTACATTTAGGAATGAAATTAGCTCTTGAATAATACTGATTTACTTAGAGGTCAAAAGTAGATTTCCCGACAGTTCACTTCAGTAGAGAAATGGCATAACCGTAGTAATTATCGGCAAATGGAAAATATCGACACGTGAACTGTCGAAACCCGACGATGAACTATGGTCAATTTTTCTCGACACATGAC